GACACCAAGGGCTTCTTCGACCCCAACACGCACGAGAACCTCACCTACCTGCAGCTGCTGGGGCGCTGCGTTCAGGACCCTGACACCAGGCTCTTGTTTTTATGTCTATCAAAGGAAAAATGAGACCTTTGAGTATTTCCATTTCTGTTTGTAAAGCTATTGTGTCATTTTTTAATATTTCCATGTTTTTCCCGTTTTTTCGCTTCTCTCTTCTCCATCGGCGTTTTGATTGGCATCATTCACATCTTTCAGGTATTGTTTGCTTTTCCATACTCCCATCACGTGGCCGTGTTTCCTGGTCTGTTTATGAACCAGAACCGTCCTTCTCCTCACGGTGCTGACTCTTATGCCTGTGGGTGCTCTCACTTGTGACTTCTGGCACTTTTTTGTGTTTCTCTATTTTTTTTTAAATTGTTGTAAAGTATACCCATAACCCATTGCTGTCGAGCCGATTCCGACTCATAGCGACCCTACAGGACAGAGTAGAAGTGCCCCATAGGGTTTCCAAGGAGCGGCTGGTGGATTTGAACTGCTGACCTTTTGGTTAGCAGTAGAGCTGTTAACCAGGGCTCCGCAAAGTACGCATAACTTAAAATCTCCCTCCCTAGCCCGTTGTGAATATGCCGTTCAGTGGTGGGAAGTACACTCACTGTGTTGTATAACCATCACCACCATCTGTTCCCAGGTCCCGTTCATCCCCCCCATAGAAGCTCAGTACCCCTTAAGCCATAACGCCCCATCCTCCCTCCCACAAGCCCGAGAACCTCTGTTCTACTTTCTGTCTCTTGCAATTGGCCTTGCTAGATGGTTCCTAGAAGCGAATTCATATCATATGCGTCCCTTTGTGTCTGACTTCTCCGTCAACCTCGTGTTTTGAAGGCTCAGCCAGGTTGCAGTATCCGTCAGAACCTTGTTTTTCTTTATGGCTGAATAACACTTCATTGTGTGGATGGACCGCATGTTGTTCATGCGTCATCTGTTGAGGGACGCTTGGGCTGTTTCCACTATTCGGCTATTGTGAATAGTGCTGCTGTGAACGTGGGTGCACACATATCTGTTTGATTTCTTGCTTTAATTCTTTTGGGTATATACCTAGGAGCGAAATTGCTTTCAGTAAGTTTGATTTTCAATAAGTTTAACTTTTTGAGGAATTGCCAAGTCTCTTTTTCTATTTTATGGAAAATTTGCAGTTGATCATCATTGAAACACTCCATCACCTTCTAATTGGAGAACCCTTTTCTTGGGCCTTGGACATATCAGTCTGAAGTGTACATATTACTTCGTGGTTTTCCCCAAAATGGTATTAAATGCATGTCGATGAATTATGAGACGTCTTTTACACCTGTGGAGTGACTCACGTTCTGTCTACTCGTGTCTAAGTGGCCGTGTTTGCTGTGGCTTCATGCCCAGTGCCGTCAGGCTGGAGGCAAAAGCTGAATTCTTTTCTAATGGTTTCAGCTCCGTCCTTGTACGTGTGACCCTGGCCTGGATCAGCTGACCTTCTTCCAGGGTGGGGGTGTTTGGTCAGACAGAGCAAAGAGGCCCCAGAGCTGCTGGCAGATAGAAGCAGGCCTGCTTGTCTCACAGGGGCAGGCGTGCGGGCCAGGCCGCTCTGGGAAGGTGACACTTGAGTCGAGACTCCAAGGACACCTACGTGAAGGGCATTCCAGGCAGAGGGCGGGTGCAAAGGCTCTGGGAAGGCACCCATCATGCTCGACACACAGCACAGAGGCCAGGTGGCTGGAGTGGACTCAGCAGGAGGGAGGGCAGCAGTTTGAGATGGGCAGCAGGGTATATTGCGGTGGCCTGTGGACCGTGGTTAAGGCCTGGATCTCTGGGCAAGTGAGAAGGGACTGTGGAGGGTGTGATGGAGTCCCCAGTCCACCTTGGGTTCAGTAATTCAATAGAAGGACCCAGGACTCAGAAAGCCGTTGAACTCACGGTTACAGTTTAGTACAGAGAAGGAAGACCTTAAATCAGCCACAGAAAAGTCATGTTGGGTGGAGTCCTGGAGAGCCCAGGTGAGAGCTCCTACCTGCCCACCCAGTGGAGCCGTGCGGACAGCGCCCAATTCTCCCAGCAATGACGCACGACATGGATGGAGCTTTGGCACCAGGGACGCTCCCCCAGCCTTGGTGAGGTCCAGGGTATTACTGGGGGTCGGTCACACAGACATGGAGCACCTGTGTCACTGAACTTAGCTGCTCAGTCTGCATCCCCTCCACAGGCAAACGTATGCCACATGGCCCAGGACCCACCATAATCATACCGCTAGTATAGGCGGTCTGGCCGGGCCCAGGGCCCCAGGCATACAAAGACACCTTGTCAGAAAAGGTATTCCAAGGCCGAGAGGTCGCCTCCAAGGAGCTGGTCAAGGGTCCATCCTTTCTTTGCAGTGTGCAGGGTTTGAACACCCTGGGCGGGTGTGTCAGCCCTTCATCGCATGCGCTTCTGAGCAGGCGAGTGACGTGTCCACAGGGTCACCTGGTGCTGGGTGGAAGCCAGGAGCGTGGGGAGGGGGCTGCAGGGTCCGAGCGGGAAACGCTGGTCATAAAAGAGTGGCAGACAGTGAAAAGGGGTCAGATGCCGGCGGCTACATTGCAGGTTGGAGGGAAGAGAGGGGTCCACCTAGCTGAGAGGCCAGCAGGAGGGAAGGCCCACTGGCGGAGGGCTGGAGGTTTGTGGGAGGGTGGGCTCGCGGCTCACCAGTTCCCCTCCAGGAAGAGAAGGCGGAGGGTGGGTGCACCCTCAGGAGCACAGAGGGGAGTTATGGGGGGAGGGGGTGTAGAGGGAGAATTCCGGAGGGGTCCTGTTGCTGTGGGGCTGCCTGGTAGTGAGGGCAGCAAGGAGGGAGAGTGGGGCTGCAGGCTGAGTGAGGAAGGACTGCCCCCCATGGTTCTTCTGAGGCACCTCTGGGTGGACTCACGTTAGCAGCCAAGGACATTAACAGTCTGTACTACCCAGACAGAAGGCACAAATGGCCATCCTGGAAAGGGGGCCGGTGGGTGTGTGGACCTGAGAGGGAAACCCAGACCGAGGGCCGGCGGAGGTGTGTGCTCATGCGTTAGTAGCTGACAGCCTGCTGGTGAGCGTTTTCCCCACGCCTTACTAATTTGGGGTAGGGGGTGGCTGTCGTGAAGAGCTGGCCCCATTTGGGAACCCGGGAACTCCTGCAGTTGCAGGAGCCCCCAGCTGCTCAGCCGGGCCTTTCCCAGATCCTCAGGGACTATCCCAGGCAGAGTGGCCGCTCCAGGGTCCCGCTCCACGCCAGGCCCACCCCTAGGCAGAAGCCCCTAGAGGGCACCGCGGTCCGGGCCGGGTTTGGGGAAGTGCGACAGGAAGCGGTTCCGGAGGCAGCGGCAGCTTGGAGAGCTAGCCAGGGGCGGTGCCCGGAGACCCCGGCCGGCCGCCGAGGCAGTTGAGTGCCCACCGCGCGCCCGGGAAGACCCCAATGGGCTCGCCTCTGGGCCACCACCGCAGCCTTGGGCCAACTCGGCTCAGGTTGGTCCCGGGGCCACCTCTCCGCGCGGCCGACAGCGGCAGAGGCCTGGAGGAGACGGACGCCAGCCGGGACGGCTTTGCTCCGGGGGCGAGGCCTCGGACGGGGCGCAGCTTCTGGGGGGCGGGGCCTTGGGCGGGGCCCTGGACCCGGCTCCACGGGGTGGGGCACCGGACGGAGCGGGGCGGGGCTTCTGGGGGAGCGGTCCTGGGGCGGAGTTGGGCCGGGCCTGGGACCCTGCTCCACCCGGCGCGACCGGGAGGGGCGGGCAGGCTCTCGCGCCGCCGCGAAGCTCCACTCCGGCTCCGGCCCGAGAAGGCGGCTCCGGAGGGGCTGGCCGGCTCCACCCCTGCGCCCGCTGCGCGCCCGCGTCTCCCGATTCCCGGAGGCGGGGTGGGGGCTCGAGGCGGCGGCTGCGGCTCTGCTCCGGCTCCTGGACCTGGGCGGCTGGGCGCGGGACCAGGGGCAGACGAGCAGCGGCGGCGCGGGGCGGGCGGATCGCGCGCGGGGCGGCGGCCTGGCCCGCCGAGCCATGGCGGCCCCGGAGCCAGCGCCGAGGCGGAGCCGGGAGCGGGAGCGGGAGGACGAGAGCGAGGACGAGAGCGACATCCTGGAGGAGAGCCCGTGCGGGCGCTGGCAGAAGCGGCGGGAGCAGGTGGGTGCGGGCGAGGGGGGGCTTCCCTCCCCGGACGGGGGGCGGGGGTGGGTGGGCTTGAGGCCTGGGAAGCCGTGCGGAGCCGCGGGGGCTCTGGGGGAGCTCAGCGTCCGTAAAGTGCTTGGGCGGCCACGGTCTTGGCCGGCCCTTGGATCCCTTTGGCCCGTCCCCCACGCCCACGTGAGGAACCCCCATTCCCTGAGGACCACCCTCCGCCTGAGACCACTTCCCGATGCCTCTGAGACCGGCTGCTGTCTCCCTAGAAACCACCCCTCGATTCCCTGGGACCTACCCCCCTGCCCATTCCCTGGACGCTGCCAGGGCAGACCCCGCTCCCCCCAGAGGCATCCAGCCCTGAACCACACGCATGGTAGAGGCCAAGCCGCCAGCCTGGTCCCCCACAGGTGAACCAGGGGAACATGCCAGGGGTCCAAAGCACGTTCCTGGCCATGGACACAGAGGAGGGGGTGGAGGTGGTGTGGAACGAGCTGCGCTTCAGCGACAGGAAAGCCTTCTCCGCACATGAGGTGAGGCCACCCTCCCAGCCCCCATCCCACCCTCACCCGCTGTTCTGGCCTCTTGACAGTGCCGCCCCCCCCCCCCAGGAGAAGATCCAGACCATGTTTGAGCAGCTGGCGCTGGTGGACCACCCCAACATCGTCAAGTTACACAAGTACTGGCTGGACGCGTCCGAAGCCCGCGCGCGGGTGAGCCCGGGAAGACCAGGGCCTGGGCGCGACTGAGCCAGGTGGGGCGCTTGGGCGCCCGCGAAGTTGGGGGAGTCCGACAGCCCGCCGCCCCCCTTGCAGGTTATCTTCATCACAGAGTACGTGTCGTCCGGCAGCCTCAAGCAATTTCTCAAAAAGACCAAGAAGAACCACAAGGCCATGAACGCCAGGGTAGGGATCGCGGGCTCCAGGGCTCCGGCAGGGTGGGTTGGGCGCCAGGCCCTGGTGACAGACACAGGGCGCGGGCGCTAGGAGGCCCCCAGGACAAGGACCGGGCGGGGGCGGCTTCCGGGACAGGAACTGGGGGGGAGAGGCGCGGGCGGGCACCACCAGACCCAGCCCCTAGCCCGCGCCCCTCCCGACGGAGTCGTCCGCCCGCCGCCAGGCCTGGAAGCGCTGGTGCACGCAGATCCTGTCCGCACTCAGGTGAGCGCCCGGGTTTGCCGGCCCCCAGCCCCCGCCACCGCTCCCACCTCCTCGGCGCCCCTAACTGGGTCCGCCTGCTCCCCTCCCCCGCAGCTTTCTGCACGCCTGCAGTCCCCCCATCATCCACGGGAACCTGACCAGTGACACCATCTTCATCCAGCACAACGGCCTCATCAAGATCGGCTCGGGTGCTGGCAGGGCGGGGCCTGCTGGGGGTGGGGCCCTCCGTGTGCGGGGTGGGGGTCTACCCACGGCTGGGGAGGGGCTGGGGCCGGGGCGGGGCCTGCCAGGGGCGGGGTGGGGGAATCTGCCCCCGCAGAGCGCGCCTGACGCCCAAAGCCCCCTCGCGCTGACGCAGCCCTTTCTCCCGGTGGTGGCCTGCGCAGTGTGGCATCGCATCTTCGCCAATGGTGCGTGGGGACCTGGGGGGCACGGGGCAGGGGAGCGTGGAGACAGCCGGTCGGCCGGCTCACTCCCGCGCTCGCCGCAGCGCTCCCAGACTATCTCCGAAGCCCCATCCTCGCTGAACGTGACGAGGTGCGGAACCTGCACTTCTTTCCGCCCGAGTACGGTGGTGAGTCCGGGTGGGGTCTGGCCGCCCCTGCGCCCCATGCCCGGCGTCGACCTACCCAACCTCCCTGCTCCCGCCTTTCAGAGGTTGCTGATGGCACCGCGGTGGACATCTTTTCCTTCGGCATGTGCGCGCTGGAGGTACTGGCCCTAAGGCTTCATGGCCCCATGTCTCGCCTGCGCTGCCCCTGCCCCCTGCCTGACCTCACTGTACCCCCAGATGGCGGTGCTGGAGATCCAGGCCAACGGGGACACCCGCGTAACGGAAGAGGCCATCGCCGGAGCTAGGCACTCACTGAGTGACCCCAATATGCGGGTGAGCAGCTTGCCCCAGTCCTCCTGGGCAGGCTCAGGGTGGTTGAGATGGGGCCAGGGCCTCTGCCGTCTGGGCAGGCCTGGAGGTGCAGTGGGTTGGCACAGCTGGCGGTGTGCCAGCCAACTTCGCATGGTCCACACACCAGAAGGGCCTCAGGGGAGCGCAGCCATGAGGGGTTAGCACATTCCCAGGAGGAGAGACCGGCGAGAACCCGGCCTGCTGCAGCAGAGTGCCAAGTTTAGGCCCAGGGGCACTGTGGAGCCATGGAGGGGCTCTGAGGAGGAGGTGACACCAATGCGAGCAGACACCCCCATTTCTCAATGTGGCAAGGCCTTGATGGGCCTTCACACCAGTTCCCACATTAGCCTCACAATAATCCCTGTGGGTACACTGTTATGCCCATTCTGTAGATGACAAACTGAGGCTCAGAGATGCTAAGCACTTTGCCCAAGGCCTTAGATGAAGTGGTGGAGCTGGTATTCACATCCAGGTCTGCCTGATTCCAGTCCCTGCCTTTTAGCTTCCAGGAGATCATTGAGATATGGGCGTGGGGGGGGGGAGGACATAGTGGGTGGGGGACCAGGCAAGGGAGATATAGGATGGAAGCTACAGCCTCCACTTCTCTGGCCAGAGGCTGACAGATTAACCTGGGCACCCCATAACTTCTGGAGATCAGAACCGTGGGGCCAGGATGGGGTGATGGAGAGAGACAGGCCGTGGGGAGGTGGGTTCAGGCTGCAGGGGAACCTGGCATCCTGGCAGCTGTGAACTGGGGAAGGGGACGCCCACTGCGCCCAGATCTGGTGAGGGTGGTGTGAAATAAACCAGACGAGGTTCTGGGCCCAGGGTCTGGCTGTCCTCCTGCGCGTGGACAGGTCCTGGCCTGGCCGCTAAGGGGATGCTGCCTCATGCGCACAGTCCAGCATGAGGGCCCCTTGGTGTCCCTGGGAGGGAGGGTGTGGGGATTGGATTCCCGAGGAACTGTGGGGCGGAGTAGCCGAGAGCAGAGCACCTCCACCCACCGTGACCTTCCTCTGCCCCCAGGAGTTCATCCTGTCCTGCCTGGCTCGGGACCCTGCCCGGCGGCCCTCTGCCCACAGCCTGCTCTTCCACCGCGTGCTCTTCGAGGTGCACTCGCTGAAGCTCCTGGCAGCGCATTGCTTCATCCAGCACCAGTGTGAGGGCGGGCCCGCAGGTGGGCGGCTAGGCTGGGGTGGAGGGAGGCCTGGCTGAGCGCCACTGCGACCCACAGACCTCATGCCTGAGAATACCCTGGAGGGAAAAACCAAGGCGGTGGACCCGCATGCAGTCCTGGCAGAGATCCCGCGGCTGCGCCGGCCCCCGGTGCAGTGGCGGTAAGAGCCCCCCACTCCAAGCCCGCCTGGCCCCACCCCACATCACAGCCTCCTGGCTGGCCCCTCATGTGCCTCCCTCCCCACCCCCCACCCCCTGCACCAGGTATTCGGAGGTCTCCTTCTTGGAGCTTGACAAATTCCTGGAGGACGTCAGGTGAGCGCTGGCGTGTGGGTGGGCGATGGCGGCTGCCAGGCCTGAGCCTCCAACCAGCCTGGTGTGCCCCCAGGAATGGGATCTATCCGCTGATGAACTTCGCCACCACTTGGCCCCTGGGGCTGCCTCGCGTGCTGGCCCCGCCCCCCGAGGAGGCGCAGAAGGCCAAGACCCCGACTCCGGAGCCCTTCGGTTCGGAGACTAGGAAGGTGAGGCCACGCCCACTCACACCTGCCCCCCCCCCCCCAGACATGCGGGGCTCTCTCCGGCGCTTTGGGGCTCCCAACCCAGCTCTCTCCCAGGCTGCCAGAGACCAGGGCCAAGGGTGGGCCCTGTGTGGGGGCCAGAGGCCAGGGAGGACCAGCTGGGATACTCCTCATTGCCAGAGGCTCCCCCTCCCCTGCCCTCCCTGCCCCCCACCTGCCTGCCGATCCCACCCCTCTAGGCTCCTGTCCCTTTGGTGTGCTAATTCCTGACACTGTGTCCAGGTGTCTGCCTCAAGACCGCCTAAACCTCTCCACCCAAAAAGCTCCCTCCCAGCCAGGGCTCCCCCTCCAGTCTCTGCATCTCCACCTCGCTTACTGTGTCCCTACCCACTGGGCTCCCTGAGGGTATGGCTTTGGCCTTGGGTGTGTCCCCGTGGCCACTGAGCTGATCCGGGCCACCTCCAGTCCTCACTTGGACACTTCGCCAGTTTTCGCCCTGGCTTCCTTCCCTGGGCCTCCTTCCTCCCCACCCCCCACCTCCCTCCCCTTGGCCTCCCTCCCCTTGGCCTCCCTCCACCTCTTCCTCCACTCACCCTGGCCTCCTCAGTACAGCCAGAATTCACAACTAACAGTCCAAGCTGCCCTTCCTTCCCAGTTTCACGCTGCTCAGGCTCCTGGCTGCCCACAGAGAGCATCCAAGTCCGAAGCTGCACCCTGCTCCTGCTGTCACCTCCCCACTGATGTCTCTGTCCTCTCAGCTCCCACTTTGTTCAAGATGCTCTCTCCACCCGGGAAAACTACTCTTCATCCCTCATTACCCAGCCCCACTGTCTGCTCTTCTGGAGATTGTCCTTAACTCACCCGGTTCAGGCAGTACCATGCTTTCTGGACCCCCACTCAGACTGTCCCCAATCCTAACCCCTACTGTCGGTTCTGGGGCCCCTGGAGCCAGGCATCTGCTCTTATGGTGACCTTTACACCCTCCCTTCCAGGTGATCCAGATGCAGTGTAATATGGAGAGAAGCGAGGACCAGGCGCGCTGGCATGTGAGCCCCAGCCTAGGCTGGGGCGGGCAGGGAGGGGGTGGCAGGAATGGCCAGCAGGGATGTGGGGTCGGGGAGGAGGCGGGGGCTCCTGGCCTGGCCCAGCCCGCCTCCCCGATGGCGCCCTCCGCCTCCCCAGCTCACCCTGCTGCTCGTGCTGGAGGACCGGCTGCACCGGCAGCTCTCCTACGACCTGCTCCCAAGTAGGCAGGGGTGGGGATGGGGACCCCGACAGGCGAGGTGGGGGGATGGGGCGTGCGGAGCTGTGGCCTCACATCTCGCTCTGCTCCTCCTGCGGGCAGCCGACAGCGCCAAGGACCTAGCGGCTGAGCTTGTGCACTACGGCTTCGTCCACGAGGTGAGGGGCTGGGGCGCTCAGGGGGCCAGGGGCGTGTAGGAGCGGGGCGCAAGGGCCTGGGCGGCCCCAGAGCCAGGCTGGGAGGACTGTGCTTCGTCCGCGCTCCTCCGACCTCCGCGCGCCCCCGCCTCTGCAGGATGACCGGCCAAAGCTGGCGGCCTTCCTGGAGAGCACCTTTCGCAAGTACCGCCGGGCGCAGCCCTGAGCCCGCGGCACAGCTGGGGGTCCACCGTCCACGTGGGGAGGAGCCCAGACCGGCGGGAGTGCGGGACCCCGACCGGACCGCCTTTGCCCGCCGGTGCCCCTGCGAGCCTGGTGCTGGTGAATACGTCCTGTGAGGGAAGAACATGCTCCTTCTGACCGCGGGAGCTGAGGCCCCGCCCCCAGGAGGCCCCGGGGTGGAAGGGCTTATAGGCCGGGCCCACTGGAGTGAAGAAGCCTGGAGAGAGGCGTGGCTAGGGCCAGTGCTGTGGATAAGGAGCAGGATCCCCCACCCCACTCTGTGCCCCAGCCTAGGGCCAGTGCTGTGGATAAGGAGCAGGATCCCCCACCCCACTCTGTGCCCCAGCCAGCCTGGCTTCCACCACAGCGTCTCTTCCAGGGATGCCTCATCTCCTTGGCCAAGAGCCTCTAGGAACCTGGTGGGCCAGTGCCTGGGCCTCTGAGCCCTTGCCTGGGGAGGCAGCCTGCAGGGAGGGGCAGGGTGGTCTGCCCTGGGCAAGCAGCTGCCCAGGGAACTGCTTTGTCCTATCTGGGAGAGCAGCCAACTGGGGCCTGGAGCCAAGGGTGGAGTCTCTTCAGGTGTTGGGTTCTGCTGGGTGCTGGGCACTGGGCACGATGCCATGGGTGCCCAGCAGTGACCACAGGGCACTGGCCTGGTGGGAGAAGCAGACGGCAGGGAGACTGCCGAGAAGCTGGTGGTCCTGGCCCCTCGTAGCTCTCACACCTCTGATCCTCAGAGCAGCCCCAAAGTTGAGGCCATAGTCAGCAAAGCCCCAGCTCCCACACAAGCCACCTTGGGGCCCCCACTCTGACGGTTCCTTCCACCTGCTCGAGACTGGGATCTGCAGCCCCCTGCGACACTCTTCCCACCCACTCCTGCAGCCCCCTCCAAGGGATGTGTTCTGTCTTTCATTCCCTGCTCCTGCTCTCGAGCTCACCCCTCTGACTTCCTGAGGATATCAGGACCTGGCTCCTTGTCTCTCCCACTCAACTGCTGTCTGAGTTGGAGAGGTTCAGTGACCCCTGGGATGTCCCTCCCATGGCCCTGACCTCTCTGTCCTTGGACCACCTGGCCTCCATTTTCAAGCTTAGTTCCACATCCCTCAGCATTTAAAATTGCATGTCTAAACTAGAGCATTCAGTTTCCTTCTTAAGCATTTCAAATGCCAAACTGGGAAAGCAGTGTTTATTTTCTGTTGCTGCCATCATAAATGACCATAAACTGAGTGGCTGAAAACAGCACAGGCTTAGTACCTGATAGTTGTGGAATCAGAGGTCCGGACGGGTCTCACAGGACTGAAGGCACGGTGTCGGCAGGCTGGGCTTCTTCCACAGGCTCTCGGAGGAGTCACTTCCTGGTCACTTTGGCAGCTTGGAGAGTTCACGTCCTTGCAGTTGTAGCGCCGAGGTCTCCGTCTTGCTGCTGGCTGCAAACTGAGGTCTGTTCCCCAGCTTCTAGAGGCCACCCACATCCCTAGGCTCATGGCCTCTTCCTCCATCTTCAAAGCCAGCAACAGTGGCTGAGTCTCACTAACCATGTCTCTGGTTCTCTACAGCTGAGAAAGGGACATCTTTGAGTGCCATTGTTCTGCCTATCACACCACCGTAACCAAACAAAAACAAAACAAACTTAACAAGATCTAGCAAATAAATTAAATGTAAAAATAAAGTGAATCTCCAGCTGCCTTAAACATTTCAATACTGTTTACAAAACTATTCAAATTCTCACACCTTTCAACTTCAGATCACAAATCTAAAATAACTCATACATTCTAGACAGAAGCCCTTATGCCAAGCTGTCTGATTCTGCATCGTCTTAAAGTGGCAAACACATAACAGATTGTACTAGTGATTAAACTGAATCCAAAGGTATCAATACTATCATTGGTTCATGTAATAATGCCTATGCTTACTTTTTCACTTAAAATTTTATCCTCTCAAAGTTATATAAATGACCTGTTTCATAAGTGAAATGATTTTTTCAAGGCTAAAATAAATAAAAACAATAAAAGCAGTCTCCTGATCTTCCCCTAATTCAACACTTAGCTGTTTCTTCAGGCATTTAAAGTCCATGTTTCACAAGACCACAAGCATGCTTTTTCTGCTATTTATTGGTTTTTCTAAATTAGGTGTCCTCTACTGGCATCCGGGGGGGGGGATTGTCACCTGCTCTGCTCCCCTGACCCAGCATCATCCCAGTGTGATGGGCATCATAGCCACCTAGGTTATTACAGCTTCATCACCAGAGTTCTCAGCAGGGAACAAGGTGTCCTCGGGGTATATTTCCTTTCTTGCACAACTTTCTGTTTTCCCTGGAGTTAATAATTGCCTAATGTTTTTTGTTTGCTTTGTTTTCTATATGCCTATTATTAGTTCAAGGAGCCCTGATGGTGCAGTGGTTAAAGCAGCTCAGCTGCTAACCGAAAGGTTGGTGGTTTGAACCCACCAGTCGCTCCACAGGAGAAAGATGTGGCAGTGTGCTCCTGTAAAGATGACAGCCTTGGAAACCCTATGGGGCAGTTCTCCTCTGCCCTGCGGGGTCGCTATGAGTTAGGATTGACTCTGCGGCAATGGGTTTTTGGTTTTTCTCATTAGTTCATTCTTAGATTCCCCTACAGAAGTGTGAACCTCCTTTCAATACTTGGGACTTGCCATGTAATTGACCACTCAGTGTCATCTTTTCCTATGGCCCTTGCCATGCCAGCCCTCTGCCCCAGGCCATTTGTTCAAGTTCAGCTGTCATCCTGGGTTACCCCTGCACCAGCGTCCTGGACCGCCTTCTCTCCCTTGTCCTGGATCCTGTGCCCTTTCTCTTCATTCACCCCATTTGAGGAGGAACATCTCCAGGCTTCCTGAAAGAGGATGTATGGGAAGTTATAGAGACTTGGCCTGTTTGCCTTTGTCCTACCCTCACCTTTGTTTGGAAGTGTAACAAGGTACAAAAGTTAGGCTAGGTTCAAAATCATTTCCCCCTAGAATTTTGAGGGTATTGTGTCATTTTCTTTTAGTCTCAAGAAGTCTTGTACTTTCTTGAATTCTGACCTCTTGCTGTGATTTCTTTCTCTCTCTCTGGAAACATCTAGGATCTTCTTTTTGCCCCAGTGCTTTGGGAATTCTCACCAACATGTCTTGATGTAGACCTTCTCTTTCACCCACTGTCTCAGGCCCTCCATAGGAGCTGTCAGTCAAGAAACCCACTCAGTTCTAGGAGATTTTCTTGCATTATTTATTTGTTGATTTCTCCTCTCCTTCTCTGTATTTTCTGGAATTCTAACTATTCAAATGTTGATGTTATCTTCTGAAAGGCATAATAATGTAGTGGTTAAGGGTCCTGGGTCTGGAGCCATTTGGCCTGTGGATGTGCTGCTTCCTGCTGTGTGATATTGGTCTATGCCTCCATTTTCTCATCTGTAAAAATGAGGATCTGGAAGACGGGTACTGGCCAACTGACTGGAAGACATCCATATTTGTGCCCATTCCAAAGAAAGGTGAGCCAACAGAATGCAGAAATTATCGAACAGTGTCATTAACATCACATGCAAGTAAAATTTTGTTGAAGATAATTCAAAAATGGTTGCAGCAGTAAATCAACAGGGAGCTGCCAGAAATTCAGGCTGGATTAAGAAGAGGGCATGGAACAAGGGATATCATTGCTGATGTCAGATGGATCTTGGTTGAAAGTAGAAAATACCAGAGAGATGTTTACTTGTGTTTTATTGACTATACAAAGGCATTTAACTATGTGGATCATGACACATTATGGATAACATTGCAAAGAATGGGAATTCCAGAACACTTAATTGTGCTCATGCAGAACCTATACATAGACCAAGAGGCAGTCATTCGAAGAGAACAAGGAGCTACTGCATGATTTAAAATCAGGAAAGGCGTGACTCAGGGTTGTGTCCTTTCACCATATTTATTCAATTGTATGCTGAGCAAATAATCCGAGAAGCTGAACTACATGAAGAACGTGGCATCAGGATTGGAAGAAGACTCGTTAACAACCTGCGATATGCAGATGACACAACTTTCCTTGCTGAAAGTGAAGAGGACTTGAAGCACTTACTGATGAAGATCAAAGATCACAGCTTTCAGTATGGATTACACCTCAACATAAAGAAAACAACAATCCTCACAACTGGACCAATAAGCAACATCATGATAAACGGAGAAAAGATTGAAGTTGTCAAGGATTTCATTTTACTTGGATCCACCATCAATGCCCATGGGAGCAGCAGTCAAGAAATCAAACAACCAACGTATTGTGTTGGGCAAATCTGCCGCAAAAGACCTCTTTAAAATGTTAAAAAGCAAAGATGTCACTTCGAGGACTAAGGTGCGCCTGACCCAAGCCGTGGTGTTTTCGGTTGCCTCCCATGCATGTGAAAGCTGGACAATGAATAAGGAAGAAGAAGAATTGACGCCTTTGAATTGTGGTGTTGGCGAAGAATATTGATTATAGCATGGACTGCCAGAAGATCGAATGAGTCTGTCTTAGAAGAAGTACAGCCAGAATGCTCCTTAGAAGTGAGGATGGTGAGACTTCATGTTATGTACTTTGGACATGTTGTCAGGAGGCACCAGTCCCTGGAGAAGGGCATCATGCTTGGTAAAGTAGAGGGTCAGTGAAAAAAGAGGAAGACCCCTGACAAGATGGATTGACACAGTGACTGCAAAGATGGGCTCAAACATAACAATTGTCAGGATGGCGCAGGACCGGGCAGTGTTTTGTTCTGTTGTACACAGGGTCGCTATGAGTCGGAACCTACTCGATGGCACCTGACAGCAACAACAAAAATGGGGATAATAACAGTACTCCCTCCATAGGGTTATTGTAAGGATCGCATGAGTAGTGTGTATGAAGTAATGAGGACGGTGCCTAGCTCTTGAGGACTCTATGTCAATGTGAAATTTTGAAGGGGAAGCTGTGATCAGAGGTCGGTGCTTGTGGCTCCCCCTGGTGGTGATGGAGAGCTCAGCCCTGCCTCCATCCC